CAAATAAAATATTATTCCTTTTGCCTATAAGGCTTAGAGTTGCAGGAATTTGAAGTTCAATTTTGAAGTTCAGAGTGATGTACATTTTCAAGAAATTGTCCCCTGGTTAATATTTTCAGGAGGACACAGGATGGCTTGAAGTCACATGAGGAGAACAACATAAACCACTAAGAAAACTAAAGGGACATTTCTTATCTGCTAGCCTACAACCCACTCAATTTTCTTCCATCTAGATGCTTGCAAACCCGAGAGATGACCCTGAACTTCGTTCCAGACACGAAGAGCAGACAGTGCCAGGATCAGAATTCCGATCTCCTGACTTTCAACCCCAGGAGGATTTCAACTCTACCAAGTTATAGACGTGCATCTTTGTGAGATGCACTTTTCTCATGACTACTGGAAGAAAGGGCGGATTTAAATTCAAGTGAAATGAGAGTCCACCAGCTGATGAAACTTCCGAGGTCCATTGTACCCCACCCGGTCCCTTTCGGGGGTCCACGTGCCACCCAGGCATCGTGGACGCCACAGTGCCGTACCTGGTGTGGGGAGGAGTACCTCTTTTCATACGTCAGCCGGTTCCCTTCGATGGAGAATCGGAACCCTTTCCGCCTGATGCTGTCTTCCGATTCGGATTTGTGGAATTCGTCCTCGTCCTTCTCCTCCCCGCCAGACTGCTCTTTCTGTTTCCTTTTCTTCCTCCGATTCCTTCTCTCCTTCGCGCTCTTGGAGCTCAGCTTGGAGGCTTCGGAGGAGCTGCGCGAGAGGCCGCCCGCCGTGCTGGCTTCTCGGGAGTGCTCGGAGCCCGTGGCGGCGGCTGCCTGCTGCAAGGGGGACATGGTTTACAGAAGGGTTATCGTTCTTTCCCGAGTCCCTGGATGGGGCAAATGGTTAGCGCCCTCTGCTGCTAACTAGCAAGTTGTCCACTCAAGACCACCTAGAGGGTCCTTGGAAGAGAGACCCTCCTTCTGAGGAGTCAGCCACTGAAATCCCCAGGGAGCTTATTTCTACTCTGCCAGAGAGGGGGGTCCCCACGAGCCAGGGTCCACTCCAAGACAATGGATTCAACATCGCCCAAGAGGCTGCCTGGCGTTTTAAAAACTGCAATTGTCTGACTAAACCTGACTTCGAAGCAGCCCTGAAAATAGGGGTCATTTTTTTTAAAACTTCCACTTAATGAAGGCTTTCAGATGATTTGATTTTCTGTGTGTTAACATTTATTATGTCTGTCTTATGCTTCACAGGACACATATTTCAAGATGATCAATCAGGCTTCAACAGGGACATAAGTGCATATTACTTTTTGAGATTTGATTTCCTCTAGACATTGACGTTTAATTATCATGGCCTTCTTTGATCTGAAAAAGAAACCGGAGCCTGTCAGAAAATTGGAGGAGTTGCTTTGGCAGAGTGAGCTAAAGACCTGGCGCTCCTTCTCCAGTTACCAACCTTGGTTTGTCCAATAGCTTCGAGGATGCTCCCACTGCAGGAGCAGAAGGTAATCAAATCCCCCTTCCTCCCTCTTTGATAGCTCTCTACCCAGAAACATGGAAGAGGAGGGATCAAAGTTTTCCTGTTAAGCAAGACTAGACTTTCACCAATTCTTTGAAAATCATTTCCATTGTCTTCAACTCACCACTGGATCTCACTGGCCCCAAAGAGCATGGGTTCAAAACAGCATTTTTTTTTAATAATTTTATCACAGCTCATACTGGTACACATTGGCAGTTGTTTACAACATTCATTTTCTCCCCATAGTCCTCTCAATACGAGATGATCTGTTAACTCAACAGTTAAGCACTCTGCTGCTAATCAATAGGTTGGTAGCTCAAATCTGCCATTGGCTGCCAAAAAAGTAAAAGAGAGAGAAAGGCCAGGTAATCTCCTGGCTATAAAAATTACAGGTTGCCTTCAAAGCCCACGGAGCAGTTCTATACCACCCAGCACATTGGCTATGTGGCGGAAGAGACTCCACGACAGCACGGCAAGGCCAGCCTTTGTCGTTGTGTAGGCTCTCACTTCAATGGGCTTCAGAGATTATGGTCCCTTCTGAATATAGTGAAGGCCGAGGGCAAGGCTCATGGTGCAGGTCTACTAGCATTACTTTCCCAGCAGCCCACGCTCACGTCATGTGTCTGTGTCCCATGCGGTATTTCTTACAGTCTTTCAAACTTTCACATGATGCTGCCCAGACATTCGGAAGATTAGAGTACAATGTAAACCCACCTTCTAGGTGTAGTAGGAAACCCAAAAGATAATAGTACTTGTCTTTTTCTTTCTTTGAGATTTGTTTGATTGTTGTGATCTGGAACAAATCCACAATGTCTACAAGGTGTGCTTGTCCTGGGAACCTGTAACTAGATCGCTGTTCCCCAAAGCAATCCCCCTCTTCAGAAAGGGCAGTGCGTCTTTTCACATGCTAAGGAGAACATGCCAGGGAGAAGGCAGTGTCTGCTGTCAGGTGCCAGCAAGTCGGTTCCAACTGGGAGTCAAAGGGAGGTGCTCATGCTCACTGCCATCAAGTAGATTGCCGACTCATAGCAACTCTGCAGGACAGGGAAGTTCCCCATTCCCCCCCACCCACCCCTACCTACGAGTTTCTGAGACAGTAACTCTACGGGAGGGAGGAGAAAGTCCTTTCTTTCTCACAAGGAGTGAGTGGTGGTTTCGACCGGCTATGATGATCATAGATCAATGTATAACCAAGGCTCCTTAAAGACAGTGATTAAAACCAAAACTCAACTGGCGACCAGAGTCCATTTCAGCTCACAGTAAGCCTATAGGCCAAGGTAGAACGGCCCCTGTGGGTTTCCAAGACTTTTCACAGGAGTAGAAAGCCTTGTCTTTCTACTCTGGAGCTGCTGGTGGGTTTGAAGTGCCAGCCTTGCATAGAAGTGCCCCATAGGGGTGACTTAGCTTTAGTCTCTATGGAAGCAGACTGCCAGGTTCGTCTCTCATGGAGGCCCTAGGTGGCTTTGAGCAACCTTTTTTTTGGGTTAGCAGGCAGTACTTAATCCAAATGTAAAACTCCTAATTCCATCAACTTCTTCTCTGTACTCTCAAACATTTGTCTGCCTCTCCCTTTTTCTTCAGACATTTCATAATAAAACACAAAGCAAACACAAAAGATGAAGGGCCCTGCGGCGACACCAGGCACATTTGTGGTGGCAAACTCACGTGTGCTGCCTCCTGTTGCTTTTTAAGTTGTTCGAGAATCTGCTGAAATTCAGCCTCTTTCTGCTCTGCCTCTTCCATGGTGGCCTGATTCTGTTCTTCATAGGCCATGGCCACCACGGCCAGGATCAAGTTTATCAGGTAGAATGAGCCCAAGAAGATGACCAGCACAAAAAATATCATGTATGTTTTCCCAGCAGCACGTAATGTCTAGAAAAAGAGAATATCAGAATTATTTTTTTCAGTTTACTTTTCCTAACTGGTGGCTTCAACTTTCCAATTGTGTGTCTCACTGGATTCTGGTTAGATATTAATTATGTTGGTCACATATCCTCTTACTCCTTTACCTGTCTCCTCCTTAACATCCTCCTCAACTTTCTCTTCTGACTTGGGCGTTCACTCTCTCACCTCTAGAAAGTCATTCTTGGATTCACCAAGAAGAAGAGGGAGTTGATAAAAAACACAATGGAGGTGTCCATCACAGAGGAGGTCAAGGAAGAGGCAGATGTTTTCTTTCCACATCTACCATTCATTTTTAATCCTCTCCCATCTGAGGGTAGTGTTTGAGGTCTTGGGTAAGACTGAGGGGAGGTCCTATTTGTGAATGGTTAGAAAGAGCATTTGAGCCAAGGTGAAATGGGAGAAGATTTCCGCCTGCTAGCACAGAGCTAAACCTGTGTTTAGTGAGTAGGGTAGAGGTACTCAAATCCCCTGATTTCAAGCTGGTGGAGCAGTGGTTAAGCATTTGGCTGCTAACTGAAAGGTGGGTGGTTGGAGCCCACTAAAAACCTGTTCCTGGAAAATACAGGGAATCCAGGACGGATGAGCCCTATAGGACCAGTGGTGTGAGTGGCAAAACAGGGAGGATAAAGGGAGAATGGGTAGGAAAGAGGGAACCCATTACATGGAACTGTATGTGACCTCCTCCCTGGGGGACAGACAACCGAAAAGTGGGTGAAAGGAGACATCCGACAGGGCAAGCTATGACAAAATACCCATTTATAAACTATCAAGGGCTCATGAGGGAGGGGGGAGCGGGGAGGGAGGGGAAAAATGAGGACCTAATGTCGGGGGTTTAAATGGAGAGAAAATGTTTTGAGAAACGATGTACAAATGCGCTTTACACAATTGATGTGTGTATGGATTGCGATAACAGTTGTATGAGCCCCTAATAAAGTGTTAAAAAAAACCCAAAAAAACAAAAAAACCCTGTTCCTGTACAGATCATAGCCTTGGAACCCCTAGGAGGGATTCGACTCTATCGTACAAGGCTGCTCATTGTTGGAATCAACTCCAGGGCAACAGGTCTGGCTTTGTTCCCCCCTCTCCATCATATTATGCTGTGGTTTGGGTTTCATAGCAGAATTGATTTTCATGCTCACTTCTACTTAAATGCAGTATGTGTCTACTCAAGTTCTCACCAGTTGGTAAAGATTTTCCCAAAAGTCCTGAGTCATCAGTCGAAACAGGGACAAGAAAGCCCAGCTGAAAGTATCAAAGCTGGTATAGCCGTAATTGGGGTTTCTACCAGCTTTCACACACATGTAGCCTTCTGGACACTGGCTGTAAACAGGGCAAAATGAAGTGTTACATAGTGGGTTCTGATGTCTTTTTAGCATCTTTCCAAGAAGATTTGCTACTTCAAGTAATAATAAATAACATAGTTTTCAACCTGACAATATAATTTGACTAACCATTAAACAATTTAGCTTTCCATATTTTCAAATGCTTTCATAGTACTTACAAAACTATTTTTCCATTGACCAATTAGCATTTTAATATATGTCACTTTCATTTGTCCTACTATCATTTCCAGAGCAGATTTATAGTCACGTAGTCTTATACCAAATCATACCACCATTGCTTCCTTTTTTTGAAACATAAAATTATAAATATCTAAGTAATACTTCACATAATTAGTCTCACTTATTGAAAATTAAAATGAAAAGTTAGTTGTTTATTTTTTTCAGCTGCTATAAGAAGAGGGAGAAATACAAATACTTATATAGACAAACACATATGCATTATTAACTTACCCTGCATCAGAGCTATTTCCACATAGGAGTGCATCTAAAAAACCCTCCAAGAAATAATGGTATCCTGTTTGGAGAAAAAAAACAGTGACATGAGAAACATTTGCATCATTAAAAACACTAGCAGGAGAACAAAAAGAGTAGGTTCCACTTGTAGGTTTCCTTGAGCAATTTTATACATACTTATAATTTAAACATATAGTATAATTAATTCTGAGACACGTGATTTCTGTTACTTCTCCCTCCAAATACTAGGTGTTACTTTAAGGGGGGGCAGGGGGAGGGGGTAAACATTTACTAATGCAAAGTGTTTCCTCATTATAAACATCAAACTAACGATAACCACAGATGCCTACATAATATTTTCAAAAGATATCAGTGCTTTTCCATGATCCACATGAAAAATGAAATGCAAAACTGTAAAAAAGATAAGAATGAGAGGAAGCTCTCTGCCCTCTCAAAACAATAACACATGTCAAGACAAAGGGGCTGTATGTTTTTTCTGATTGTCTATTGTTTTTTCACACTATTTATGAGTGAAAAATAATTAAATGTGATATGCATTCTACCAGTTTCCAGGATGTGTGATAGGCAGTTTACAGTAAAAGCTTTGGCATTAGCTACCAAATTTGGTATTTGTTTCCTTATATAATACTACTTTTCAAATATAAGAACAATATTTCTCTGTAAGTCTCACTTGCCCTTTATAAACTCAACAAAAGCAATCTACTAAAGTCTTAGCCTCCTGAAGTCATGGGATGTTACATTTCCCCTGCCTCTACCCCATATCTCATAAGACATTCCATGATTACCATTTAATGGAATATATTTGCATAGCGCTTTAGAATTTCCAAAGGGCTTTCACTTATTTTATCTCACTCCAGGGGCTCAATCGCCATGGAAAGAATGCACAGCAAATGACATTTCTATAATTATTTCTTTCTAGCTAAATTCTTCAGCTTCTCACATGATGACACAATAGAAAGCAGCATTTAAGAGTAAACACTAGGATAAGTATGAGTTAAATCATTAAATGCATGTGCAAACGCTTACTAAAATGATTAACGAAGCTCTTCTTTAAAATTAGTTCTAAGAACATAAATATTCAATTATTTCAAGTCCAGGGGGAAAGAAACACCAAATGAAAACATCGTCTTAAGTAGCTAAACATGGATTAACTAGGACTTTATTTTAAGAGCCCACAACCCAAGTTTTCCATTCTCCTTCCCGGGTGCAAGAACAAGCACACACAACAGCATTTCTTACTTGGTTCTACTGACATGGAGCAAAAAACATATGGCATCTTAAAGGGCAAACGCTCATATGATTTGCACTCAACTGCTGATCTAATGGTTGGCAGTTTGAACCCACCCTGTGGTACTGCAGAGGAAAAGTCCTGGTGATCTGTTTCCATTAAGATTACTGCCAAGAAACTCTAATGGAGCAGTTCTGGTTTGTAACAACTCAATGGCAACTAACAACAACAATTCTTACTTGCATCTTGAATATATGATTTCCAGTCAAAGTCATAATGAGTCTCATTTACAAGTGTGCCATTGTAATCCGTAGTTACATTCCTCTCTATAGTATGCTCCTCCAGGGAAGCATTGGTGGGAGGCCATTGTACACACTTATTCCTCAGGTTGCCCATGAAGAGCTGGAGTCCTATCAGGGCAAAGACACTCAGACAGAACACAGTCAGGATCATGACGTCAGAGAGCTTCTTCACCGACTGGATCAGGGCCCCCACGATGGTCTTCAGGCCTGAAAGAAAGGAGATTACAATGCATTTTAAAACATATCCGAGATACGAAATCATCACACAAATTTCTCAAAAGCCCAGAATCCAGGCATAAGTCCACATTCGGTGGCAACACTCATGGAAGAGCCCCAGTACAGGGAAGGCTGAAGGGCTCATGGAGATGGACGCCTCAGACAATGAAATAAAAATCCATACACATCCCATCATTTTGAGAGAAGATCATGAGAAACTCATGGTATTCAGAAAACCTATAATAATGTAAAAGGTGAACGATTTATTTGCTCGGAAGAGAAACTGGAGTATCTCTTCTTTTTGTTCATGAATTTTTGTCCTACACAATATGTAGGGTGAGTTGTCAGTATACTAACAAAATGAGTATATATTTTGAAGTTCCTCTTTAGAGTTGAAAATTTTATCTAGAAAACTGTAGGCAGTTCAATGTATAATTGCCCCTTAGGATCATAAATTCTCCATTCAGATTCATGCTACTCTTCACTAGGTTTTATTAGCAAACTTAGTGTGTACACAGCTGTCTATGTCTATAATAAATATGAAGATGTTTGTTGGTGCATTTAATAGGGAACAAATCCTTGGTTCAAATGACATGTAGATAAACAAAACAAAATAAACACAAATGGCATTGTCTGAGTGCAAACAACAAAGACTGTTGTAGCATCTCCTGCAAGAAACTATTATGCCCTAAGCTGGACCACAAAATGTGAAAAGAGAAAAAAAAACTTATCTCTAGATAGTAGGAATCATTTTCTGTGTGACACCTGGTCTAATGACTCCCCGTTTTCTGTAAGACTAGAAGTAAAGCAAAGATATTGATGCTCAAAAGACATGCATTCCGTGTCAGCATATAACCTCGCTCTCACCTGGAATGACGGAGATGGTTTTCAGTGCTCGGAGAACTCTGAATGTTCTTAATGCGGAGACATTGCCCAGGTCTACAAACTCTGTCACATATCTGTAGTCGGGGAGTTCACACACAAACACAGTAATAAGATACAAACAAAGAGGTCCGGGCACAAGGAACTTTATTCTCTAACAATATACACTTTACCTTGAATTCCAGAAATAATTTTCAAAGCTTTCAAGACTCTGAAAGTGTGAGGATCTTAAAAAAAATTCCTAAGTTTATATATTCTGTTATGTACCAGTAAAAGTAAATCGGGCTTATTCAAGATTTAAACAGAATTTAGATATTTTGTTGCTGTCTTTTCTAAAGATCTCTTTGCTGGGTTTTTAAGTCATAAATACATAAAGTAACACCTTAGCTATGAAAAGCCATCACTCTGACCTTACAAACAAAATATATGGCCATAAAAACAAAAAAAATCAAACTCAGTGCCCTCAAGTTGATTTTTACTCATAGTGACCCCACAGGCCAGGGTAGAACAGCCCCTGTGGGCTTCTGAGCCTGTAACTTTTTCCGGGAGTAGAAAGCACAGCGTTTACATTGCTGTCGCTGCTTTGGAAAGCAAGGTATTCAACATTCCCCTTTACTTGGGAGAAGGAACAACAACAACCACAGCAAAATAGAGAAAGAAGTCTTGGCTGTCGTGTCACGTTTCAGCCAGGAGAAAAAAACAGATGAAATCACCCCACAGAAATCTAAAAGGCAGATTGCTGTTCTGCATATAATACATTTTACTTGGGGTAGCTTTTCACTGGAAGTGAGTCAAATGAAGAACAATGTTTTCGAGACCCAATGCTGCTCTGCCATTGGTGTTGGCTCATTTTCAAGAAGCAGAGCCCCCACGATGCCTCCTTTTGAGTTATCGCCAGTAAGAGTGGTGAAAACGGGCTCCTACTGATGAGACCTGGAATTCAGATGGCCAAGGCAGCAGTTGGAATTCCGAGTGTGCCAGGGCATCTGCTCCTCCTCTTGTGCATCTTCTGTAGGCAGCCAAGAAAGAGACCTCCTGGGCAGAAGGGTGAAGGCACGTAGCATTGGTCCAGATTCCTCCACCTACTCTACGTTCACCGACAGGTCTCCCCCACTACCTAATGGACAGGGTTTCGATGAAACCTCCCAGAAGTGGAGGTGGCATAAGGTGAAGGAGTATTTCATTTACGTGGGAAAATTTTCTGCGGATTCCCAGACTCCAAAAAACAGCCTACCAAGTAACACACAAAAACATACATGATGAGGATTGGTACGAAAGTGTGGCTACCATGATTTCAGTTCATACACATGCTGGATTATTCCAAACAAAACATGTTTCAGTGATTGATGGATGGCTACTGACAAGTTTGCTCAATATACCAGCCTTAGTCTCTTTACAATGCTTTAAACAACAGCAACAACAAAACCCAAACAAACAGCCAACCAACCAATCAAACAACAAAGACTAAGCAAAGGAGTGCCTTTCAAGGGTTTCTCCTAGCACAGTGAGATTCAAAGCAGAGATGTCAGCTTAGAAGGCTATGGAAACTTTTTCTGGGTTTCTCTAGGGGGAATCTTGATAGATTTTCTCAACAAACACAAGATGACCATGGAGACTTATTAGGCAGCAGTGATAGAAAAAAGAGACTTGCAATACCGAGGAAGCCTTGCCTATCCTAACAATGCAATGGCAGCGAGCGCTGTCTGATAAGACGTCTGCTGGGAAATCTTAGCCCAGCCATCCTACAGCCTGGCCTGGCTCCATTAGCCCTTTGTTGTTGTTGTTCTCAAAACTCAAGGAACCTTGAAAAGGAAAATAAGTTTTATCCCTCAAGGATGCCTTAACCACCGTTTTGATGGGATGTAACTTAAAATTCTTCAGGGGAGGGTTGTAGAGATGGAAACACTACCTCAGAAGTGGTTAGACCTAAATAGAAAATATGCCAAGAAAATAAATAGCTTTCACATTTTAATATGTTTAATAAAAGTTCCTATGATTTTGTAGCCATCCACTTGGACTTACCCTAGTAACACGAGCACAGAGTCAAGGCAGGAATGAAATGATAAAGACACAGCCCAGAGCATGGAGTCATCACGTATGTGCAGTGTGGTTCTCGGGGAGCAACTTGGCAATGGAACTTGCTGCTGGACGTCTGTGCAAGCTGTCTCTTTCACAGTTAACTGCCCAAAAAACCCTCACCAAATTCTAGTTTCACTTTTCAACTTTGTTTTGTGACAGTGAAAATCAGAAGAGTTTCCGTGAGGGACAATAGGGTTTTGTATTGTAGGCCTTTCATGAGATCTAAGGAAGTAAAGCAAACTTCTCAAAAGCAGGGGATGTGGGGACCTTTCCTCCTGTCACTGAGGCAATTCTGACTTATAGGGACACCCTATAGGACAGGGTGGAACTGTCTCCCCGTTTTTTGAGACTGTAAATCACTACAGGAGTAGGAAAGTCTCATTGTTCTCCCACAGAGCAGCTGGTGGTTTTGAACTGCTGACCTTGAGACTAACAGTCAAATGTGGAACCACTGCAACCAGAGCTCCTAGGGGATACCAGCAGTTATGTCTAAATAGTCTCCCATTGGTTTGTGAATCTCTTTTTCCTTGAGGAAATGTACTAGTCTCCAAAACTTGTGTATTTGGATACGTAGGCGCCTCTGAGAGGCACAAATACTTAAGTATTTGACTTGTCACTGAGCTTTGACCCCACCTAGAAGTGCAGTGGAAGAAAGAAAGACTTGGCATCTTTTGCCAAAAGGTCGTACATCGCCTTGAAAACACTGAGGAATACACTTCTACTCTGGGCATAAGGGGCCTCTGTCAGCCAGAACAGCTTCCATGGTCACTGGCTTTGTTTTCGTTTTGGAGATGAACAGTAAATAAAGATAAGAAGATTATATGGAGGTTCAAGAAAGAGAGCTACACACACACAGACACACACACACACACATATACACACACAGACTGATGAAAGAATATAGGAAGTAAGAAAGGCGAAGGTTATCAGGAGAAAAATAGAAAGAACAAGAATGTGCATTTATGTCTTAAAAATAATTTTGCTCATGAAATAATAAGTTAATATATTATACTGTCTTGTTTTCTTTTTGTTTGATTTGTATGATGTCATTAGCAGTCTATGTTTTCTTTTCAATCGAAGTTTAAAAAATGTTAGAGGAAGCTAACAGAATTATTTGGGGTATAGTTTTTTAAAAACCATTTTCACGTATGTACTATGAATATATGCTTTTTCACATTAGCTCTGTGTGTGTGTGTGTGTGTGTGTGTCTGTGTGTGTTTGCATGCTGGAAAAGTAGTATTATGAAATTTACTGAAAAATGTAGCTTGAATCATTTCGACTACTGCCACAACTTCATTCTAAAGTGAAAGGCCACTCTATTTTTTGTTGTGTTAAATTTAAATCCAAATAGATGTATGTATAGATTGTGATAAGGGTTGTATAAACCCCATGACTCAATTACTCCCTCAACACAAGAACACTTTGTTCTAACAATCCAGCATTCTGTGATGTTCACCTTCCCTACACAATTGCTGAAGACAGAATGGGTGCCTAAGCAAATGTGGTGAAGAAAGCTGATGCTGCCTGGCTATCAAAAGATAGAGCGTCTGGGGTCTTAAAGGCTTGAGGATAAACAAGCGGCCATCTAGCTGAGAAGCAACAAAGCCCACATGGAAGAAGCACACCAGTTTATGTGGTCATGAGGTATCGATGAGATTGGGTACCAGGCAACTAAGACCCAGAACAAAATCATACCCAAGGAGATTGGGGGAGGGGGGCATGGAGTGGAGACACAATGCCCATCTGTAGACAATTGGATATCCCCTACAGAAGGGTCATAGGGAAGAAATGAGCCAATCAGCGGGCAGTATAGCACCGATGAAATACACAACTTTCCTCTAGTTCTTTGGTGCTTCTTCACCTCATGACCTCAATTCTACCTTACAAATCAGATTAGACCAGAACAAGCACACTGCTACAGACAAGAGCCCACATCACAGAGAATCCAGGATAGATAATCACCCCCCGCCCCCGCAGGGCCAACAATGAGAGTAGAGATACCTGGAGGAATAGGGGAGGGTGGGGGGAGAAAGGGGGAATCGATCACAAGGATCAACCTAGAACCCCCTCCCAGGGGGACAAACAATGGAAAAGTGGGTGAAGGGCGATGGAGGACAATGTAAGATATGAAAACAATAATCTATAACTCATCAAGGGTTCGTGAGGGAGGGTGGGTGGGGGAGGGAGGGGAAGAAATGGGGAGCTGATATCAGGAGCTCAAGTGGGAAGAGAATGCTTTGAAAATGATGATGGCAGCATATGAGCAAATGTGTTTGACACACTGGATGAATGTATGGATTGTGATAAGAGAGGTAAGAGCCCTCAATAAAAGTATTTAATAACTATAAATATATATTTGAAACATTTAAAAATAGTTATACGAGACCCAAATAAATTTATTAAAAAAAGAAAAATACATTTGAAGCCCCCAAATTTAAATCCAGTCTAAATTTCTCATCAATAATTATTTACAAGCATAAGCACTTCTTGAACACACAAAGTTTCACCAAAAAAAGGTACTTACGCAAATGTAATGACAGTGAAATCAAGCCAGTTCCAAGGATCTCGAAGAAAAGTAAAGTCTTCTAAGCAGAAGCCCCTTGCAATAATTTTTATGAGTGATTCAAATGTATATATTCCTGTGAAGGTGTATCTGAAGAGAAGCATCCAAAAGAAGTTATAAAGTAATACTTTTTCTCTGATAGCATATCTATTTTTATAATTCTATCAGTGGAATAGATGACTACTAAAAAGGAATTTTACCAAATTGATTAATTGTCATAGAAATGTGACATAATGAGTTGTTTAAAATATCCGAAGAGTGGTATGAGAATACTGTTGAATATAATCTGTCTAGCAACTGTCTGAAATATCTGGGTATTGATGTGAATGAATAGAGCCCAGGAGAACTATTGAGTATACTCAGGTGATTCACAATAATACTCCTACTCTTCACTTATGACATGTTGAGGCACTAAACTCCAGGCTCACAGAGCATGTCAGTGTTAAAGTACAAATGGAGGAAGGCCATACCAGATCGCAAAGTGAAGAATAAGGATATTGGATAGCTTCCAAATGTCATCATTACATAACTGCCAAATTTCACTCTTACATAACTGCCAAGCCACTAAGACTTATTGCTCAGCCAAACTGGCAAGTAACCTTCAAATCACGGCCAGCATGAGTCTCACCTCATGAGTTGGTGTGTGAGACAGCGAGATATACATTGTTAATGTACAAAATAATAGGTAGTCAGTTTTTACTACTGCAAATACGAAATATCAGGTGAGATGATGTTGTGAGGAATAGGTATACTGCAGAAGCACAAAACTCTTTTCTTTTTGAGGTAAGAGACACCAACTCAATTATGTTTTAAGAATTAGGGAATAATTCTAAGTTTTCTAAGATGATAGGTGAATTTGGTTGAAAAACGACTTCATCCAACTTCATAAAAAATGACTTCATCAAATTCAGGTGGCTCATTCTGCAGTCATTGAGGTTGAAATTACATTTAAGGTGGGGGAATTGCTAATTCAGACACTTGGGTGTTTCCAAAACTTGAATGCTATATTCAAAGATGGGGTGGTAAGGTGATTACATACAATCACGAAAAAGGGGCATGAAGACCTGTAGGGCCTCACTAGTTAACGCCAATACTGCAAAATTCATATTTTTTGCTAGTTTTATTAGTTCCTTGAGCATCTTTTGTGCTTCTTGATGAGCTCCAGCTGCAAATTTCAAAAGCAGAGCTCCTAGGGAATCCCTCTTTGGTTGTTTGAAGGATCAGCAACCTTAGAGTAAGAAGGTTTGCACTGCTAATGTGATCAGAGGAGTGACCCCCAAAGGGGCACACTATTAGAGTACCCACAGTGTTGATGATCACAAAGTTGGCTCTCTGCTCTCAAAGGCCTACCATGAATTGGGAGCATTTTGTCATGCTTTTGAATTCTGAACATGCTACCCGAACTTTGAGTTCAATTAATTTTGTACTCAATCTACTGAAGTGTTAAGTTCTAAAAGCCATAATTTAAAAATTCCCTACTCCCCAACCATTCCTGGTGCCCACACTTGAACACTACTCTGTCTGACATCGAGTGGAGGCACCTAAGAGAAAGAATAGCTTAGTGAGCATCAGCAATGACTTCTTGCCGCATTTGTGGGTTTCTTTTAGCGCACTGTATTCATAACTCACTATACTCAGAAACCAACGTCCACCATATTGGATCTTTGCTCACATTGGCTTTGGCCACTGCAGGTCCTAAAGGAAAGGTGAGTTGTGCAAGAGCGATGGGCTCTGCTGTCCAGCAGGTACAAGTAAAGGAGAAATATCAGCAGACCTGAGCGCCAAGGACTGCTTCGTCCCACTGTGGAACTGAGTCCAGAAAAAGCTGTCATAAAAATGCTCTCCAGCTCTTTCTAATGGCTGCATCCAGACATGATTTCAAAATCCCAAACAAGGATCTCTCTCTTTCTCTACTTCTCTCCATCTCTTAAACAACCTGAAATAACACGAACTTACTCTACATTCTTTGTCCAGTCAGGAGGATTACTCATGGTCATGAACACGCAGTTTGTCAAAATAGTGCACATGATTAGCATGCTGAATAATGTAGGTGATTGTTAAGGAACACACACAGGAAAATCCGAACATTACATCAGAGAACTAACACTGAAAACTCGAGCGGCCGCTCAGCCAGGATTCGGTGGCATTTACAGGGTGGGCATGCTATGATCGAATCTCTTTCTGCTTTGGCTTCTGGAAATTTAAACTGTCGATAACAATATTATCCTCACAGAGCAGCTGTAGTGTTGCGATAATGTATGTATGAGAAAATATTTGGGAAAGCATTAGATCAATATACAAGTGTTTTTCTGCTACTCTTATTAAACCAATATCTTTACTTCTGAGGCAACTTTCATGGGAAGATTTGAAGAGTTTCAAGGCCGAAAACACTGTCTTGAATGAATTAAAGTGATTTAAATGATATATTGCTGAGGAAGGGCATACACCATCAACATTATAATTTATATAAATAGATATTACGCAATTTTGTTTAATGAATGAAAATACTTTGTAGTCAAAAGGTAGCACGATAGTAAGTGTTGGATTGCCCTAAATCAACTGAGTTTATCTGCTTGTGCAACAGTCTTGGGCAAAATTAAAAATGAGTATCTTTGAAGGCCAGGATTGAAAAATCTGTGAATATAATTAAAATTCACATAGAAAAGTGATTTTGGATAAGCTACTTGGCCTTTCTGTACCTCTGAATCAAGCTGTGTTTCATCTCATCTTAATTTTATACAATGGTGCTAATAATGCAAAGACCTCTTCCTTTTGAGGTAGATTATTTGTGTTACTCTGTGTGAAATGTTAGCAATCATGCCTGTGAATTAGTAAGTGCTATCTAAGTGTTAGCTAACATCAGTGAATATGACATAAAATTATAGAATTGAAAGAAACCTTAAAAAGTGAGTCTAATCATAACCCCCAGAAATTAGATAAAAAGGACTATGTTCTACAGGAATTCGGTAACTTGACCAAGGACTAGAACAGATTCCTGGCCATCAGGTCCAAGCATCTTTTCACTAGAACTTTCTGCCAAAAGAAAAATTTTCCATAACAGCAAAAAAGAAAGTTTTCATGAAGTGACCACATGATGGCACTAGGGACACAAATGAGAAGGAATCATCCAGATAAATGTAAAGTCTGCACATATGACTTTAATATTCCAAATCCTTCACTTTTCACCATAATGTTGTGGCCTTAAGCAATTTGTTATGGCCAGATTAAAAACCAAGTAACCTTTTCAAGTTTAGAATCATTCCATTTTAAATCAAGCAGTATGAGCTTAATAATTTCAAGTCCATTTTTCATCAAAGCTACCAAATATAATGCCAAATCAGAAATGGTGATTTCATTTTTTCCTTCACGAACATGAAATTAGTTGTAGAGTTCGCATCTATGGCACTCCCAAGGTCAAATCCCTAAAAACCAGGTGAAACACAATTTTAGGTGTTTTTTTTCACCTGCCGGGACTCTACAAAGTAGGACATTTTGCGTGGCACAGTCATAATTCAATGACTTAAATTTAGCCCATAGCCAGTATAGATTTCATTAGAAAAGTTGTTGCTTGGTTTTGCTCTGTCTTGTTTTTGTGCATGTTGTTGTCTCCGCAGGTCTGTCTGGATAGGACAGGCTGAATGAACAATCTGGAAGAGAAAACAACGGGACTGACAGTTCCGGGGGGACATGGGAGAGGGGGAGGTGGGGGGAAGGGAAGAGGTGTTAACAAACCCAGGGACAAGGGAAC